CTCTCTCTCTCTCTCTCTCTCTCTCTCTCTCTCTCTCTCTCTCTCTCTCTCTCTCTCTCTCTCACTCACCCCCACTTTCCGTCCTTCTTCCTTGTTCCAAATTGCTGACTCACTCTCCACTTCCCTGCTTTCCGTTCTAGTTTCCTCCTCTCTGCTTCCTTCTTCCCTCCTCCTTTCCTCTGCTTCTCTTCTCCTATCTCCTTCCGTCCTTGCACTCTCCTCCTCTCCCCCTCACCAATATCCTTTTTAACGCCAATTTCTTTCTCTCACCTTCCACTCTCATAAGGGTGCACCTTTATTGGACACCACATTATTGGACACCGCATTTTTTGACACCGCATTTAAATGAGTGAGATGCGTAAGGATCTTGCTAAAAGCACATACACACACACACACGCGCGGGGGGGGGGGTGCGAGGGGGCCTTCGGCCTCCCTCCCCGCACCCGCCCCGCCGGTAGAAAGCGTGGACCACCTTGTAACGTTTGTGTCCAATAATGCAGTGTCGAAAAATGCGGTGTCGCAAAATACGGTGTTTAATAATTCCTACCAGCGGGGTGGGTGCGGGGAGTGGGGCCGAAGGCCTCCCTCGCACCCTCCCGCGTGTGTGTATGTGCTTTAACAAGATCCCTACGCATCTTACTCATTTAAATGCGATATCGAAAAATGCGGTGTCCAATAATGTAGTGTCCAATAAAGGGCGCCCCCTCTCACAACCTCCTGCTCCGCCATCTTTTCCCCTTCTTCGGTAATGAAATAGGGAGTAGAGTTAATTGTAAGTTTAGATTGTATATTTCAGCGGTTTAGTTCAACGCCAAGTTTTTTAAATAAACAATGATGTCATTAATCAGGATCGATATGTATCCCACAATTAAATTATTAGGTTGGTAACTAAGTTCTCGCCGTATTTTTAAATTTTAACTTTCCGCATGTCATTAAATGTTTTTGGCATAATGTTTTAAATCATTCGAAAGAGGATGTTTTGTTCTACCGGAATCTATGTTTTGTTTTTTTGTTCGAGTTAATTTATGTTAATTTTTAGATTATTAAAATGGAATGTCAAGTTGAGAAAAATGAGCATTTTCGACACCTCCTTCTTTTTGCTTTTAATCAATGTTCTAATTCTCCGATTTGGCACCAACGGATTTCCATCTCTTTCGATCTTTTTCAAATGCGCGGAGTTTCATTCAATACTGATGCAAAATTGAGAGCTTGGTTGGATGAATTTTTCGAGTCGAAACCGGGTGATTTCTACCAACGAGGTATTGAAAATCTTGTTGAACGTTGGGAAGAAGTTGTAAACAACAAGGGAGAATAATACATTATTGATTAATTAGTTGTCAATTTTTATTGACAAATAAACTTTTAAAAAATACAAAAACGGCGGGAACTTAGTTGCCAACCCAACAGAAAAGGCGCTCCTTTAATAAAATATTAATTTGTATTAAATTTATTTGCATTAAATTTTATGGAATAAGTATTAAAAATTTATCTCATTAATTATTCCTTAATTTTTTCCGATAAAATGGTATGCTTAATTGTTTGGCTATAACATTTTAATATAAATATATATTACATAACTTAAACACATTACATCCAACCAAAATGTGTTATACTATAATGTGTTTCAGTTATTGTTTGCAATTATAGTTTTAATAAGTTTTCGTTAATGAAACTGAACTAAGGTCGTTGATGACATCGAAGTCGTCGGACGTTGGGATAGAGAGTTGTGTTCGTGAACGAAAGCACAGGTGCCGAGATGGTATCTTTCTTTATTCGAAACCATTAGCGAACTGAAGCCGATTACATGATTCGGGGAATCGGTCGCGTTCTTCCCCGAAAAGAGATGGTATGATGTTGACAATGTAATGTGTCTATATAGGTGAATATGTACGTGCGAGAATGAATGTGTGGTTGAGTTTATACTCGATCGGAGTAAATGCGGACAAGGTTGCGCCGAGTGAAAACAGCTGTTTGATCTAGAACGTTCTCTTCTAGCGAGACGTTCGAATTTTGTCCAAACAGTTATATAAATATGTGTCTTGAAGGATATTTCTATTTTAATCCAAGTAATACTATCTTTTTGTTTCAATCCAAGTGTCAAAAATATTTAGCACAAATTTGTAATTGCTAATCTTAAAATATGTAATATCTGTAATCATACTGTGTTAAAACATTTTAAACTTTACTAGCTCCAAGTTTTTGCACAAATATTTTTATTTTTTTACAATAAATATTTTTAATATTCTGGATTGAAACAAAAATATATTGGAATAAGAATTCTCTTGAATAAAAATATAACACTATAAATGACTTTGATTGGATTAGATTATATAATGTGCATTATATTAGTTAGTACAATTTTATATTATTACTTTTCTTATACCGATTAAAGAGAATTAAATAATTATTTATATTAAAATATAAATATCCTTGAATAAAATATGAAGGTATACGAAGGTGTGTATAAGGAGATTATAATTTTTTCGCATTCAATTGGCATAGATATTTAGTGCGTTTTATCTTTTCTGTAAAAGAAAGACGAAAGAAAGTGTTTTTCATATTTTCATCTGTTTCCTCCAGTTGAAAAAATTTGTTGTTCTTCTTTAACTACTTTTACATTCTAAAGTATCATAACAATACTAGTATCAGAAGCTACTTACTTATGACTCACTTGTGTGTGTATTATAACTTTCTAATCACTTTTTACCTTTTGTACGAAGTGGAAAGTCTGTTTTAAAATTACAGTAATTTTCTTTATATTATAATATAACAATATTTGACCAAGAGATATTATATTAAATAATTGTGTCTCGCCAAGATAACCAACTTTTATTATACTCTTTAACATTAATTAAATGTATTTTCTTCTTATTTGTTACGTTCCATTTCTATACATAAATTGGTTTAAATTGGCTTATGATTTAAACTGTCAACTGTGCTGCCTTATGTCAAAAAGATGCGTTATCAACACTATTAAGCGTCAAAAGATAGTATAACAGTTTTCTGCAACCATGATGATGACATTTCTTAACCGAAAATTTATGAGTTTGGATTTTACGGAATATCTTCATTTATGGGTAACATATAGAAAAAACTCAGTTATAGGTTACGTACGTTTTCTTAATATAATGCAAACCCAAGCTATTGAATAGGTCTGTGAACTTTATTATTTTAGTTGTTATTGAGATTAGAAAATCCAAAGATCTGTTAAGTAGGTAGTACGGGTATATAGATCGTTCACTTCACCATTAAACATGAACTTGGTACGAGATTATCGTTTGATTTTCAGTATAACATGAAAATTGTTTTCCCGATTTTTCTTTACGCGTTTTAATAACGCGAGTTATTTTATTATTTTTAACTACCCACTGTTTAATTGTACGTTAGTAGAAAGTTGATATTGTTATTTCTAGTATTTCTAATCTAGCATTTATTATAATCTTATAACTATATTCTACAAAGAGAATTCAAATATCTTTTAAGAACATTTAATTCCACAGAATCATTAGTAGTAGGCTTATCAGGACGCATGAAAAAATGAAACGTTGAGGCAGCATTCCAGGTCCAGGTGTTGCCGAATTGCAATAGTTAGTCAAACAGGAACAAACTTCTTGCCTACCACCAAAGCCACTTCGTTGATAACAGTTCCCTTTATAATTTGACTCATCCCATCCGCATCCTCGAATAACTCGCACATCAGGTGGTACTGTGTAAACAATATTAATTTATTTTATGTTAAATATCAATTCCATATGACAATTAAAACGTAAATGGAAATACAATATTTTTATTACAAATGTTTATGATATTTTATGCAAATGTATAATTGTATGACATTGGGCTAAGAAAACAAATATTGTTGTATAAAAAAAGTAATTTTAGTTTAATTAACGTCGATGTTACTGCCACAAACATGTGCAGCTGATTTATATGGTTGTTGAATCTCATTAAAAAGTTATGTATCAAAACACTAATATAATTTTTAAGTAACAATACATAATATTACATTATATTAAAATATATCGTGCGAAATTATAATATTATTATAAATATATAATAGAATTGTTCAAATGCTTTTAAATTAGTAATTTAATTATAGTTTAATCATGGGATTACCATACATATATGATTATAGCAATGTTGCATAATACTTTTTATTGAAAATTTTTTTGGATCAATTTCATATAGAATTCATTATAAAATAAATTATAAAGTAAATGCAACATACATTTTTGCTTAAATCACACACAAACTATTAGTATTTTTAATTAAATTAAACTCATATGTATTTAATATTATATAATTGGATATATTATTCAATGTATTAATCGTACTCTCCAAAAAGTATAAAATAATATCCTTGTCCATAAGTGTAGAAGCTCTAAAGGAGTACACATCGGTTTGTAGTAAAGAAGTTCACTTTAACACCAGAGAAAAGATAAAGAATTTCATGGGTATATGAAGGTATATAACCGTGTGCGGTTTTTTCTTATGAGAAAGTTCTATGCGGTACATCCCTCTAGCGGAAACTTAGATAGGTTTTATTAGCTACTAAATTTTCTGTTGATTTAACCGTATAAAATATAAATCGATTTTGATTATTATTAATACAACTGACTATTAATACAAGCGCCATTATTACAAGTTCTATGAATAGCACAAATTAATAACAAGTATAATAATCGCGTTGATTTGTATAATTTATTTTATAAATAAGCAACTAATCACAACAAGTATTGACTATGTTGTTGGTTTATATTATTTTACGCGGTTATACTGACAGAAAATCTAATTTAATAGACTGTATTTTTTTAATTATTATACATAACACAAAAATATTTCATCAAAGTAATTACTTATTTGTTTTGGGGGAATATATATATAAATATAGATATATACAGGGTGTGTCCTAATACCCGTATGTCCCGTAGATGGTAGATAGACCGGGGCAAACTGAATAGAAAAGTCCTATACCATTTTGCAAAATTCGCAGTAGTTATCGAGAAATTAATTTTAACGTCTGAACGAATGAGAGCGTAGAAGGCGGTAGACCGGACTCGACAGGCAACGGTGGGGCATCATCTAATAGCGAGAGATGGAGCGGCGCGCCGAAAAAAAGTTGTCACGCAGCAAGCGGCGAGCTTCAGTATACACTCCCCGCTCGCCCCTCGCTGCGTGACAACTTTTTTTCGGTGCGCCGCTCCACCTCTCGCTATTAGATGATGCCCCACCATGGACCTAAGAATCTCTGGACCGAGCATACGGCGAGGGGGCTGTTAAATTCGCGGTATGGGGAGGATAGTACTGTCTCTTTCTACAAGAGGTCACCGTCGGGTATTTCCGCCGTATATCCGATGATTCCCGAAAGACTAGACAAGTCTATACTCGCTAACTTCTGGAGTCCAGAGATTCTTACCATGTTCCCGTCGAGAAATTATTATGTATAGACTATACACAAACTTCGACTATCTTCGGTTACATTCGTCATCAAGCCGAATGTGACCTCTTGTAGAAAGAGATACCAAGAGGACAGAAAAGGAGAGCACTCTCGCTCCCCTTACCGCAAATTTAACAGCCCCCTTGCCCGTCCTCCCACTTCGTGCTCGGTCCAGAGATTCTTAGGTCCATGTGCCCCACCGTTGCCTGCCGAGTCCGGCCTGCAGCCTTCTACGCTCTCATTCGCTCAGACATTAAAATTAATTTCTCGATAACTATTACAAATTTTGCAAAATGGTATAGGACTTTTCTATTCAGTTTGCCCCGGTCTATCTACCATCTACGGGACATACGGGTATTAGGACACACCCTGTACATATACATATGTATACATAACTGACATAATGAAATTCTTTAAGAGTTCTGTTATTAAAGTAAAGATTTCAATTTGTAAAATAAAAGTATAGCGTATCGATCTGATTTACAATGTTAGTGACTAACAAAGTGAATTTTATATGCCTCAGTGGTCGAATTGGTGAAACGCCCTTCTAGAAAGTAAATTTTATTTAAAACAATATTGATTGTTCATTTTAATTGATTTTTCTGTGTGTTTCTTTCAACTACATATTTTGACAAGATGCATTGATTATTTTAAACATAAGAATAAATCATTATATAATTTATTAATACAAGTACCTATATTAATTACATAAATTTATAATTTATGTAGTTATTAAATAAATTGTTATTCAATGTATTTTATTTAATGTAATATTAAAATACATACAGCCATTAACGCTAAACTCGATGACTTGTGTAATTTTTCGGCACATTGTATACTTTGCACCATCTTTCAGATTCGAACAATCTATCTTCATGGTATCTGGAGGAACAAGATCAGCGCATTGGCTGTTATTGCGGCTGTTACATTGATAACATTCCATAGCATTGACACCTGTAAAACGGAATTAATTTACAATAAACTTTCAAGTAAGACCCCTATCTAAAACTAAACAATATATGGTAACACGCCAATGTGGGTCACAAGGCAAGATGTAGGTAGCCCAACTTGCAAATCTTAAATCTTTCTGAAAATCGTGAATCTACAAAATCGCGTCTTAAGGGGGCGTCTTAAGACGCCCGTCACGGATTGAGGGAGATCCCAGGTTCGAATCCTGGCTGGGGTAATATTCTTTGCAATAAAATTAATTTACAGGACGGGGAAAATGGGGAGAGGGAGGGTATTGAATGCTAAATACAGCAGCAGAAAAATGCGAATTGCATTTGAAAAATAATCATCGAATCGAATACGTGAATCTGCTGACGACAATAATTCCACGTGTATGATAAACTGCGTTATGTCCGAAAAAGAAATTGGCGCGTAGTACTAATGTGGAAAGAAACGGTATATAGATATACGATTTCAGAAAGATTTATTATTTGCAAGTTGGGCTACCTGCATCTTGCCTTGTGACCCACATTGGCGTGCTACCATATATTGTTTGGAATTAATTTATTTATATTTTTCTTAATTTTTATCAAGTGCGAACATACACATCTACGTACGCAGCATATATTTATAATTATATGTATATTTATAATTATATGTATATTTATATTATATGTATAGTAAAATAATTCTTGACTGCAGTTTGTAATTATTAAATAGATTATTTTAAAAACGTCTTTCTCACATATACATATATATACATACATATTACATATAAAGTGACTTTTTATTGAAATATAATAATAATAGAAAGTTAAAACATTTTTATTATACACGAATAAAATTTGATACTTTAAAGAAATTAGATTTAATACTACAAAATTAGAAGTTACAGAATTAAATAATAATAATTAAAAGCACTATCTCCTGATTTAGTTTGCCCACGCTGTTATTTTCTTACAAAATTGCGCTCAACAAGCATTATCATGCAATAACAAGGTTATAGGTCATATCAGAAATGTCATAACAGAAATAAGATAACCCGACACATAATCAAATTTTATCCTAGTTTTCTATGTATTGACACAAATTATATTGTAAACTGCATAATATTATAATTACCTAGATTTGTATACTAGGTTTGCAATTGATTTTCAAAAGCGACTATGAAAATAGTTTATAATTTTGGAGAAATTATTTACATAGTTAATTATAAAATTATATGTATTACATAACATTTTTTAAATATAAATAAATTTACGGTACAGTAAAAATAAAATTTACAGTTTTATTGTTTAAGAATATATAAAACATTTCTTATTGTATAAAGATCTCCCAGTAAATTATTGACTAAACTAATAAATTTACAAATCTTGTATTACGTTAATGCAGGAATTAATTAAAATTGATTAAAATGTAATACTTAAAGTACTTAAACGGTTTTCAGAAAAATTTTGTTTCAGAAACGTAATCTTTTTCAAAAGCGCAAACTTAAAATGTCTTTCAAGTTTTCATATTGTTATTGTTCAAATGTTAATAATTCTAATATCAATTACAATTGTTTTAACTTTTAACTTTTTAAATGTTAAAATTTGATTGGTTGTGCACTAAGCAAAAAAAAATTATTATGAAATCTTTCAAAAAGTACGTATATTTTATTTTAAAAATTGAAAATCATTTATTCACAATTGTTACAAGGGACATTATTCAAATTCCAATATTGATCTATTTCTCTTTCAGATACGTTTCCTTTTTGATTTTGAATTTTGAATTTTGATCATAAAATTAAATAGCAATTAATTAATAGCTTTGTAGTATTTAAACGTATTTCAAGAAAACACAAATTCATGTTAAGCATTTGGATAATGACGTAGTAATAATATCTCTGAATAATAAGCAATACATTTTTTCCAAAGAACCAGACTTAGGAAACAAAATTTAAATTCTTTATAAAAAAATTAATATATTTCCATTACTTACCGTTGTAACACAAAACTAAAATGGTGCTGCACAGTGCAATAATTATAAATTTCAGTCTAAAGAGTTTCTTCATCTTTCTTTTGTTTTTCTCCCGTTTGACAAATAAATGTCCACTAAAAAGCTTCACTAATGTATGACGAAATACTGCAGTGTTCACAAGAAAGATGCGAAATATGCGATATTTGATACAAATATGAAATAATCGGAAAATAAATAAGAAAGTTAAAAATAAAAAGTAGAAAATGAGGGAAAGGAAAAGTAGAAAAAGAGAGAACAAGAAGAGATAAAAAGAATCACAAATTGGAAAAATCTAAAAATATCATTTGATTTAGAGAAGTTAGAACGTGAATGCTATTAATGTACAACGCTAGCGCGGCGCAAGTCCACTAACTCTAGCATCAGAGTCATACAGTGCCTCTGAGCAATGTTAAACGAATAAATGATTACGCCTTAGGAAGGGAGAGCAAGGCGAATATATTCAAGTGGCTAATAGTGGGAGAAGAACATGGCGAGTAGACATTTCATCTACGAATAACTCTAACAATAAGACCAATCGACCATCCTATCGCTGAGCAAAATCTTTCAATTGGATCTATACTTATAAGTCCCATGATATACATATATTTCGCAGTATTATTGTAATGTTTTATTTATATCTCAACGCATAATTTATGCGTTGAGAATAACATAAACATTATAAGTAACAATATTATTTTACGATAATATTGCATAAGTGTATAACAGTTCGAAAAACAATTAGCTGTGATAAATATTATTCAAAGTTAGAGTAATCTGACATTCATTTACCGTTTCAGGCATGAGTTTCTAAATAACAAACTTGATCTATATTGAAAAGTAAATCCACTATAGCTTCTGTTTAAAATATTTTATACTGCTGGTATAACCTTTGAAGTTTTTTATAGATTTATAAGTACATAACATTTTTATTTTTGTCTACATACAATACACATTGTCATTGTTTGGTTATACACATTTGGTTGTTCAAACCTTAGGTATTTGTAGTACGATGCATTAATTCGGTTTGGTAATAATTAGGGATGTACAAAACTTACTTAATTATTTAAACACTTTTTAATAATAGAACCAGAAGCGAATTAATGTACCACACTATATGTATATACAGGGTGTCCAAAAAGTCTGGTAACGGTTAAATATCTCGAAAATAAAGTTGGTTAGCAGCATTTTAGAGAAAAATGTTTTAGACAAAAGTTATGTGGTTTAAAAAGTTGCATTTAGTGAATGTATGAGTTTGACCTTGGGTGGCGTTACTAAGGTCAGGTCAAGGTTGTCAATCTTGTATTTTTTAAATGGAACCCCCTATGTTTTATTGCATATTTTTATAGCTGATCTTGACAACTTTCCAAAGCACTATAGTAAAGTATTTTTCGTTATATACTTTGTGAGTAATAAAATTACAAAGTGAGTAATAAAGTAAACAAACATTAAGGGGTAACACTTATGTATCCGGCTGTATAATAATAGAGGTCTATTTTTGGGAATTTTTTTTATTTACTGAATTGCGCTATTAAAAAATGAATTTTATAACTTTATTATAGGTGTCAAAAAGTAATAAATTTTTTTTCCATTATTAAATATTTAAAAATGGTGCATCTGCAACAGCGTGAAGGAGACGGTCGATTTGGCAAAGTGATCCGCGGCTAGCAGCATAAGTGATATATGATATATGATAATAAGAAGTTATGTACATTAGGACACGTGCTTAATTGGCGTTATTTAGATTACAAATACATCTGAAAGAAAAAGAGTCACGACATCTAAGCACCGTGCGCTCTATAGCAGCACTTGGCGCGGGAGCCTATAACTATGAGGAAAAAATTTTTATCGCCATAAAACCGCTTGCACTTCATTTTCAAGACCTTAAAGTGTATTTTTAAAAAATATTTAAAAAATATTTTTTTGAAAATTTTACATAGGTGTTACCCCTTAAAAGGATGGAGAGGGTTTGGAGTCGAAAAATACCTGATCTCCGTTCCGTTAATGTTTATTTAACCTTATTGCAACGGCGGAACTGGCCGCCACTATGCTGTGCGCAAAAAACCGGCCGCGAGTGTTCACTGTACGACGGATATGGTCCGCGACGAGTTGCCGCAGTTTTTCTTCATAAAACAATGAATTATTTTTGTGAATTTTAAAAGTAAAAAAGCATTGTTTTCATGTACATAATATTTAATTATTTATTTAAATTTCTTTCTAATTTTTTTGTATTGTCAAGATTAGTTTCGTGAGCGGCTACTATAGTGATTATTGGTCGCGAAAGAGTTAATTGCAATACGAAAGCGCGTATACATTGTACATCCACACCCACCTACGGACGCGCGCACGCACACACGCACGCACAGAGGTGTAAATTCGTCCGTGCAACTTCCACGCGGTACACCTTGGTACATCTAATGCCAGCGATATTGTAACTTTCGAACTTTATTACTCACAAAGTACATAATGAAAAAATACTTTATTATAGGGCTTTGGAAAGCTCTCGAGATAAGCTATAAAAATATGCATGCATATGCATGCAATAAAAAATAGGGGGTTCCGTTTAAAAAGTTCAAGATAACCTTGGTCTGGCCTTAGTAATGCCACACAAGGTCAAACTCATGCGTTCACTATATGCGCCTTTGCCGAGTATTGCAGTATAAAATATTTATAAGTACATTTTGGACCGATTCTAGTGTTTTTCATATAGGCACGGCTCTTAGGGTATGACGTCATATAAACGATCGGCGATTCGGCCGTCAAACCTTGAGTGGCAATGGGATAGCAGTTTATGTGACAACAAAAACAGCAGATTTTCCGTTGATAAAAATTATAAGAATGCGACAGGTGATGAATAAAATCAGACTTCTTTGTTCATAATTGCCATTTGTTTGTTAAAAAATATTTGCTATAAACAAGACTTATCTGTAGAAAAATTACATTTTTATAAAGTTCTCTTGACTTTGGACAATTTGAAACTTCATATTTGAGTTCAGTAGACTCAAAAATCTAAAAATAGACTAATTTCATACGTTTCCTTTACAAAAGCTCGATTCTTGAATCATTTACAAATTGTATACGAAAAGTCTATTTTTACAGAAAAGTTACACGATGATTGGCTATTTGCGTGATTTTTAGTCAATCGACTTGCAACTTTTCTGTAAGAACAGAATTTTCGTGTACGTTTCCCTTGCGAATGATTTAAGAATCGAGCCTTAGATCAATTTTGGCCCTACAGTTGTACCATTCTTTTATTGCTTTATAACCAATGTAAACTTATTTTTTTAATTACCAGAACAACATCTGCGCACGTACGGCTTATTAATTTTTTTCTTATTTTGTTAGGATAACTTTTACGCGTAACAAGTAGTTAAGAAGGTTAACTGATGAGAATGATTACTAGAACTGATTAGATAAATTACTAGAAAAACATCTGCGCACGTACGATTTATTAACTTTTTTCTTATTTCCTTACGATAACGTTTACGCGTAACAAAATTAAAAAGGTTAACTGATGAGAAACCTGACACATTAAACATGAACAAAAGAAATGAAGCATGACACGAACTAAAAGAGAAGTAAAGCACACCGCGATTCAAGAAAACTAATCGGCTACACGAAAAAGGGGCCTCAACTATCCAATATTAATAACATTCACGCTGGTAACGTATCTTTCTTCGAAATATTAAGAGATATTAATCCCTTCGTTTCCTAAATCTTTTTCTTTCACTGTTTCTTTTAAGTTAAAATCTAATGAAATCTGACAATTTTGAAATCAAAGAACTTTCTTTGACAAATCCATTTTCGAATAATATCTATTTCAATAACGTTTATAGAATCAATGTCGTACTTACATTTCGCGACATGCTAAAAAGTCGTCTAAATAATTATTGTATTTGTCTACACGTTTTAGTGAAACAACAATAGAACATGTAATTTATTTTTAATTTATAAGTAAATATATATTATTACTGTTCAAATAATAAAGTGGTAACATCCAAGTTGCATATCATTACGTATGTTCGCCTGTGCATTCTATCAAAATTTAATATTAAAAAGCTAATTTTTGAATATTTTTTCTTAGTATCAAAATATATGATATTATATCTATACATAATTGTAAAAATTAAAAAATTTTTCATATTTCATACTTTTGCTTTTAATAATAATTAATCTAACTTTTTAATTATAATTACATTATATTTTGAATATGTAACAAATTATCTCATATTTTGATAAGTTTTGAATACAATATCTGGTTAGTAATAATACCTGTTTTTTTTCTAGGTGAACTGAGAAGGAAGATAAAATGTTCTACAAAAAATTCGCGAATATGTGGGTTAAATAAATAAAGCTCTGGATGATACGAGTAGTTTTACGTTTAAATAGAGAGTAAAGTGGTAGTTTGAAGCACGTTGAGTGGATAATGTTCATCTTCCTGTGTCATGCTCAACGTTACGAAACTATCACACGTAATCACTTATCGCGTATGTGCGCGTTATATATTTACACAAGTTTATTTAAAATTTCCTAACTCTTGTCTTGGATCTTTTATTTTATGATGCACGCATGCGTAATTTAGGATCCATAATATTACTTATTTTTAATCTAATTTTTAATTATAATTACATTATTATAAAATCTTAATTTTTATTTTACATTATTATAAAATGTATTATAAAATCAAGACGCTTTTAATCAAAATAATAACGCAAGTTAGTTATAGTACAGAAAAGGTTTTTTACATTTTTTTTCGATGTATTTCAAATTTTATAAAAAATATACCTGTTTATTGTCTTACAATTTTGTAATTTTTATCTTACTAATTTATATCAAATTCAATGAAGTAATTTTACTTTTAAACGGAAAAATTATGAAAGACAAAAATTGGATTTCTGTTTCTCTTATTTACGTTTCTTCGATATAAAATTCTGATAAATTTAAAAATTCGGTAATATGGTAATATAGAAAAAATAAGCTTATTCATTGAAAAAAATGTAAATAGATGATTATGCGCCATAATGTTTATAAATGTATATAATTGTCACTGTGCCCAATATTGTTTTAAAATATTATGTTGTTACTTGTTATGCGATCGCAAACTAACATATGTATTTATATAAATGTATGTATATATGTGCGAATTGATATTAAATAGATCTTTCATTGTTGTTAATATTAACGTATTTAGCGTTTTAGCGATCTACTATCACATCTGCCCCTGACATACTTTCATCATTT